ACATGTGTAAATTTCAATAAAAAAAATATATATAATTAAAATTGTATTTATTTGGAATGTGTCCATGGCATATCGTCAATTTGTAGAGCCCCTAAGCTCCCCTCATTCACAACTCTAGTGGCTTTCAATATGCTTCTGATAGCGCAAGTACTTTCGATTTTCACTCCAGCCACAGTGACTGCTAACTATAACTAACCCAGCACCAAGTCTTGTTCCATTACATAAAGTAACTAGAGTATAAAGTAAAAGTAACTATAGTAATAGTAACCGCTTATCAATCAGTCAGTCAGAGAATCTGTGAGGATAAACAGTTCTCTATATAGAGATATTATTTGCATATCGGTCATAATTAGTGGAACACCAAATGACGTCGAGTGCAAGCTCTAATCGCTTTTTGATGTATTACTAATTGCAAAAACTAGTCCCCAGTGGAGTTCACTTTTAAGCATTCTTTTTATCTACATATTTTATGAGTGAATGTGATAAGCATATCATATGTAGTGCAATAATTCAACGCCAGACCGTATAGGGAATACGGGGATAGGGTGAAAAATCGAAATTCTAGGAAAGCAGAAATTAAACATACTCGAATTGAGATTCTGGAATATTTAAAGCACCAATTAAATATCATATACGAGGGCATTTGTATTTAAATAAGCCTTAAATTTATTATTTTTCACATTACTTATTCTTCCATTATGTATTCTTCTATATCTGCCACAAATCAGAACTTTTCGCCAATTCAAATCACCTTTGGAACAGAAACGTTCTTCCTACGAGCAATTACTGTATTTATAAATATGTATGTACGCTTTAGGACGGTTAATAGATTAAACTATCTTAATGTTTACACTGTTAAGCGCTGAAAGCTAAGCAAACAAGTTTCGGCCCGTTATAAGCTCTGTTATTTGGCAAACTGCGTAGTTTGCGTGCTGCGTCGATAAAGCAGTTCAACCGTAGCCAAGCAGTCCTGGACTCCAGGCTGAGTTATTTTCTGGGCCACGATTCGGACGAGCGCGTCAAATAATTTAGATCAAAATTCGCGCTAATAATTAGCACCAGCTGTCTCACAATTAGCAAATCCAAATATTAGCGGACTTTGATTTTGTTTTTGCAACGTTTTAATTAGCGTCAAGCTGAAGATCATCATAAACGCTCGGCGGGCCCCTTGACGCAGACGCACGATGACGCGCTTTATTTGCACTCAAGATTAGAGATGAGCGCGTTGCGGATTTGGCAACGCAACACGATCTACGTTTCGAAGACACGCACGAATATTTGGTTCACAATTCTCTTTTAGACATCTCTTTACTCTATCGTTTATAATTTCACGTATTAAAAAAATACGGTTTGGCTTGACGATTGATTAAATAATAAAATAAAATAATAATTAATAAAACAAAATTCGATCAAAAAGCTTTACGGGCTTTGTTTCTAAATAAACTTACAAAATAATAAACAATTTTGGAATTCGTGCATGTCGTGTTGGTGCGTGTACATGTTATGCTAGATAAATCAAGCACGCACCCATCTCTACACTAGTTATGAGAGCCAATACGTAGAATTGCATATAGTATATGCTGGCCTGGCGACTATAAACAGCAATTTGGCTGGCGCGTGCTCGCGTCCGTTTATCTATGTGTGCGTGTATGTGAGGGTGTATTTATAGCGATACCAACGAAATTTGAAATTGTGGTAAACACATTAATCTGTATTCAGGTAGGCATGCCTTTGGTCGATCGATCGGTGAACTCTTCACGAAGAGTTAAGATTGCAGTAAATGAAAGACAGCCATTTTGTGATATTTGTTCGATTTGAGTTACTCATTAGCTGGTTTGACCGGCGATAACAAATTATATTTAGCCGTCGGCTCTCATATATGTATGTACATAACAAAACAAAATAAAAGAAGGTAAAATTGTTGTTTAGGTAGATTGTTTCTCTCTCTCGCTCTCTCCCTCTCTCTCTCTCTCTTTTCTGTCTCCGTTTGTTCTGTTCCGAGTGTTGACACGACGGCACTGCATCGCTGTCCTGGCTGGAACTAGCACTAGATCAGTTCACCGTGCTCGTTCACTTTGATGATGCGCACTCGCTCGTGTCGCTGCGATAGCACCTCGTCGATATTCATGCTGCTGCCATCACCATTGGCGAACAGGCCCAGATTGTCCTTGATCAGGTGATCGACGGCACAGCCATCGCACTGGAGTATGACCACGCCGCTGTAGTAGGCCTCCTCGCTGATGGTTTTCGTGTTGCGCGTATTGCACAGCTTGCACAGGTAGACGATCTCCATGCGGCGCTGCATGCGACGGAACCGCTTCAGGGTTGTCGGCGACAATGAACCCTTTGGCTTAGCGCCAGCGGCATTGCCGGTTATCTCAAATGGCCTGGCCGTAAAGCGGCAGGCGTCGAGTATGGAGCGCGGTATGGAGAGCGCCGTTGATCGTTGGGCATCCTTCAGCGATTTGTCCGCATCGGCATCGGACAACGGCACTGGCGCTGGCTGTTGTGTGGCATTGAGGATCGCGTTCTGTCCATTCTGGCGTAGATAGTTAAGGGTACGCGATGTAAAAATATTGCGCAATGCGTTCATTTTACATCGGCATATTAACGATTATAATGGATACGGATGTGGATATGGACTGGGGGTTTATTCTATACCAAAACACTGCCGAACTGCACGTGTGAATTATCTAGTTGATACTAAACTGTTTTTTAGCATAAACAAACGTCGCAATTTGCTCCAGCGAGAGCGACCACGAAGGCAACACTATCAAAAGCCGACTTGCGAACCAAGTGATGGCACTATCGATAGTATCGATAATTAACTATCGCAGACAGTGGTGAAAATTCGGCATTCCAGAATTATTGGTGATATAATATATAAATATAATGAAATCGCTCATTCTACATAATACTCTTTGCTCGGTACCGTTAAGACATATTAATTTACTAAACTCTACGTTAAAGTAAATTCTCTATTTCAACTTATTTTTTAAGCTATCTAAGCAAGATTATCAGTATGACTTTCCTAAACAGCCCTTAGGGTGATAAATGGATTGGAAAGTGTTGGGTTAAGTTTCGGGAACACACTGGGTTAGCTCAAAGCCAGCTTAAATAAAAAGCTTTAATTTTTGAAAACATATTTAAATAACAGTGGTGGCAAACACAGTTATCGGTCATTCGATTTTCCATTGAGTGCTGCAAACGATAACAAAGTGAGGTAACTTATGCGCCTTGTTACTCGATAATTTGTACAATGTGCTTATCGATAGGCTTTCGATTGCCGAACCGGCAACAAGTGTAACAGACAACAAACTGAATTATGTACAATTTACGTTTACTGCGTCTGCTGCGCCACAGTGTGATCACAAAGAGCGCTGGGAGAGCACTGACACATTCACCTCCATGCCGCCTGCTGGCCAGTCATCACAAGCGAAGGCCCCAACTGGGCGCAGTGCCTTCGGATCAGCTGGATCAACTAAAGGCTGACTATTTGGATCGGCGCAGCGAGCTGAGCAACGAAGATTGGCATCGGGTGCGAAACATACTGACCGACAGCTACAAATATATTAATGGCAGCAACGTGGATGCGGTCGTCCTGGGCCTGTGCAGCAGTGCGGAGAAGCTGCCGTTGGCCAAAAGCTATCTAAGCTATCTGCAGGCGCAGGGCATTGAGCCCAATGCGGCGACATTGGGTCGTCTGCTGCGTGTGTATAACGCCGCCTACCACACACGCACGCTCAGCGACGAGGAGCAGGCGGAAATTGTGCACATCTGTGATACGCTGCAGGGCGCCCACGAGACATTGGATGCCAGCAGCTGTGAGCATTTGATACACGGCCTGGTGGCAACCAAGCAGCACTGGCAGCGCGCTGTCCCACTGCTGGATATGATGAAGGTGACCAGTGCACCCAGTGTAGCAGCTTACAGTACGCTGGCAGCCAAGGCATTTAGCGCGGAACAGCCAGAGCTGGCCTGGCGCCTGCTCGAGGAGATGCTGCAGGCGCGCAAGCTGCCCAAGTGTGAGGTGTATCTGGCGCATTTGGCGCAAAGTGCACAGCAGGCGCAGACACTGGGTGCGCAGCTGGAGCGACTGCTGCTCTTTCTGGAACGACACGACATTGTCATCAGCGATCTGGTGGCACAGCAGCTGTTGGCGCTGGCGCAGCGACTGCCGCAGCAATTGCAGGTGACGGCCACGCGGCTAGATCGCATGGGCAAATGTGGCGCCTGCCAGCAGCACTTGCAGCATGTGGCCATCAGCGATGCACAGTTCGCCGAGCTGCGTGAATCCTTTCTAGCCAAGGTGCTCATACGCAACGACGTGTTCCAAAAGTCTACGCCGCAGGAGGTGGCGCGCTTCAAGCAGTATGTGGAGCAAACTGCGCCCTACGATTGCGTCATCGATGGCCTCAATGTGGCCTATTCCACGGGCAACAAGAAGCCGCCCCAGCAGCTGGCCAAACTTCTGGCCACCGTCGTGCGTTACTTCAAGGAGCGACGCAAGCGCGTGCTCGTCCTGGGTCGCCAGCACATGCGCAACTGGTCCAAGCCAGCCATGCAGTATATACAAAACAATGCCAGTGTTTTCCTCACCAACAATCTGTGAGTACGCAACCGATATTGCCCTGGCCAGATGTTTATTAATGCGCTTTACCCAACCAGCACCCACGATGATCCGTTTCTGTTGTATGCAACGCTGCACAGCGGCCAGGATACAGACTTCTTTTCGCGGGATCTGATGCGCAGTCATGCCTTTCTGCTGGGCAGCGAACTGAAGGCCGTATTCCGACGCTGGCAGCAGGAGCATCAATACTCTCTGGTCACACAAACCCAAACGGGCCAGATAATTGTGAAGGAACCAATTAGGTATCGTCTGAGCGCCCACAAGGTGGGCAACGTTTGGCATGTGCCCTGCTGTGAGGCGTATACGCCAAATCCGCCAGAAAGCTTTGAGGTGCCCGAGAAGTGGCTGTGCCTGAGCATTGCCCAAAATGTAGTATAATATAAACATGTTTATTTGAAGGGTAGCCCCCGAATCAGAACTGACAAATGTGTATTAGACGATTGAAAAAATGTTTTGTAATTTGTGCTCGCTTCGCCCGGCAATCAGAGTTCGTTCGATTCCGCGATCTAATCGCAGTCGAGGCGGGAGCATTTGTGAAAGGCGCCATAATTGAATGTGGATTGACGCTTGCGGCGCTGCTCGTTTCTGATCTTCTTTTTGGCGGCGCACATGAGCCGTTCCTTAATATAGTTGTCCATTTTAAAGTCCATATCCGCTGGCGGCTTGGGCACCTCATTCGGTTCGCGTGTGGCCGCCGTATCCAGTGCCTTGATGATCAGACTGAGTAGCGCGTGTGCCAGACGATGGCACACATCATACTCAATGGCATCCTGGCTGGTATAATAGATGGCCGACTGTGAGGTGGGCTGCACACCAATTGCCAGCAGTATGTTACAGAATATGCCGCGCTGCATCCGAGCATACGGATCGACCAGCTGCGGTGGTATGCGCATTGTCGTCGCCAGATGTGCAATGAATTTGGCAAACTTCTTGATCAGCACATTGAGATATTGTGAACGGCATTGGCGCTCCATCTTGGACAACATATTGTAGTACATCTCCTGTTTGCGCTTCAGGAAATCCTCCTTGCGTCGCTCCTTCTTCTTGGTGTTCTTCAGCACATCCTCGAGCTGCCTGCAGTTGGTTTTTATTTTTTTGGTGGTTTAGTATTGAAAGTGAATGCCATTGTGGGCCGCACACTTACTCTGTGGTGATGGCATTGTATTTGCCCAACATGCGCTTGATGCGCTTGGCCCGCAACTTGGGATCGTAGACTTCCTTGAACTGCTCATAGTTGTCCATAAGTGTGTGCTTTTTGGGCTTTGAAAGGGCAACATCGTAGGCCCGAGCCTTGGGCGGCAGCGCCGGCTGATAGGCCATGCGTCGCACATACGACTGCAGCTTGGAGACATTCTCCTCTTGCCGTTTCTTGCGATTCTCCGGGCTGCAGTAGTCTGTATCCTCCTCTTCAGCTTCCTCCGTAGACGATGTCGGCAGAGCCTCATCCCAATCAGATACATTTGAGCTAGCCATAACTGCGTATTTTATTTAATATTTCCCTAAATTTGAATTGACACAAAATTTTGTTGAATAACGAAAACTAAAAGAAAAAAAAAAAAAAAGTAACAAAATATTTTGTTTTGCTTTTTTTTTTTTATAACATCGAGAGAACTGGCAATTTAATGTTACGCTGTCGAACATGGAATGAATTGTGTATAAACTGGACCCAAAGCACAACCAGCTCAAAAGTCAAAGCCAACTTTGTTTGCCAACAGTTTTTCTGGGTTAAACGAAATATTTATTGACAAGTGTCGCCATCTTTTGCTCGAAATTGTAAGCTTACCGTGGGGATTCACAAATTGAAAATAAGACAAACCTCTTCGCATATTTGTTTTTGTTCGGCCGTATAATCAATTCACCAATATAACTTATAATACAATTTCTACCGCTCTCACACGCAACAAATCTATAATTATTCTACACATTTGCATATAATAAATTATGTATAAAATTAGAATTAGTTTCATTGTTCGCCATTTCAGTACGAATCATTTTGCACTGAACGCTCCAGGGTGAATGTATACTCCTCGGCCAGTGCATCCACCGAGAGCTGACGGGTCATCAGTGCTAAAATGCCGTCCACTTGCAATTGGGTGCCATTGAAGCGATCCTTGGTGGCCAGTTGCGGCGACAGCTCGAACGGAATGTCCTGCAAATAACTGGCTGGCGCATTTACATTTGGCCCAGTGCGAATTGCTGTGTGGCCACCCAGCGGCGGTGGATATGGCATTGGGCCGTAAGCTGTTTGTGGCATGGGCGGGTATATCATGCCACCGGGCGCTGTGACTGGATCTGCGTCAGTTTTGCGCTCCACAAATATGAAATCATCGCCAACGCTTTGTTTGGGCAGATCGGCGGGGCCCTGAATGGCCTCGTCGGTCGGCGACTCGGCCGGCTTGCGTTTCCCAAACAGCGAAAACATGTTGCACTTTGATTTGTCAGCTTTAGCCAATATTTGTACTACAATTTAATATTTACGCAGTTATGACTTCAGCAGCTGCGTCTTGTTTTTGTGTTGTCAAAAGTATATATATCGTTATCGATGACACAATTAGAGGTTGTGGACTATCGATTTGATCACTTAACAATACGATGTGCATCAAAGTTCTGACTACAACGGTAAATGCCTTCCCGCCAAAACGCAACAACTTAAAGTGCTGCATTAATAAACGAAATGAGTGCAAAATTGTGTTCAATTTACGAGCTACTCGCGTGTTTTCAGAAATCAAAATCTTTAAAAATGTTCGGCTGTAAAATGGCAAGAACATTTTCCAAATATTTATTCAATAGCTTAAAAATATGGAAAGAAAAAAGGAGTTTTTTCCTCTAGCATCAAAAACGTCTGTGCTTATCGAACTTTTTTCAGTATAGCGCAAAAAAAAACATGCATTTTATTTTATTGTAATTTAAGTATTAAAGTTGAGGCCGAGGGCGATAGCAAATATTGATGAATCCATATTGCGCATTAGCACAAGGGTCACAGTGCGCCCGCCTTTATCGGCACGCGCGCAATTTTGTACGATATATATCGATATGTCGTGAATTACCCAGCAAGCAATTAAATGCAACGCTGTGATTGGTTTTGGTTTCAACTCTTCCAAGCTAACAAATTTTTGTTAACGAAAAAAAAAAAGTTAAAAAGATGTCAAAAGCTGACCAGGACCCAATTGGTTCGCTGAGCATAATGGAGGTGCGTATACATCTGACAAATGTTTTGCCCACAGCCGGACGACACATAGCGATTGCCGCCAAATTGGATACAGATTGCAGTGATTACAGAGATACAGACAATCTGATTGTTCCTTGTCTCGCGTTTTGCAGCAAATTAAGATACTGATCAAGCCACCGCCAAATGAGGAGGAGAAACTGGTACAGCGCACCACCAACACGAAGCACCCATACTATAGACGTCCTGGTCGCGGCCATAACCACGATTTATGTGATGCCTGCGAGGAGGGCGGGAATTTGCTATGCTGCGACCGTTGCCCCTCCAGCTTTCACCTACAATGCCAGTGGGTATTCCCAACCTATAGTGCACTCAATATACGTTACAGCTTGTTTGCTTCTTTTTGTTTTTTTTGTTTTTTTGTTGTTGCTCTGTTTGTGTGTTTGGTGCATCTTTAGTGATCCGCCGCTCAGCGAGGAGGATATACCCAGTGGCCAGTGGTTATGCCATAGTTGTCGCATGGCCAAGGTGTCGCAGCCAGCGTGCTCCTCGAAGGCCAGTTCCGTGGAGCGTGTACCCTCGGCTGGCAGTGGTTCGCGCGCCAATACACCATCCTCCGGTGAACTGGAGTCCATACCGCTCAAGATCCGCAACCTGCGCAAGCGGAGCAATAGTGAACGGAATAGCACCGAGAAGTTGCTGTCCAAGATGCCGTTGGCCATACAGCGCGCCCTCGATCCGAACAGAAAGCCCACACCACTGGACGATGTAATACGTGCCGCCAGCATGCTGAATCCGCAGCAGTTCTCGCTGCCAGCCGAACTGGAGCTGCACACTCAGTTTCCGGGAAATGGTAAGGTGCAGCCGGTGCAGCCGCACACGGCCACCGGCAACGGTCATCGGAAGCCGAACAGTCAGCGACGCAACTCCAAGCCGTTTGAGCTGGATGCACAGGGCCTGGTGCCACTGCCGGCCAAGACGTGCTTCTATTGCACGCGGAGCTGTAAGCGGGCGCCGCTCATCTCGTGCGACTATTGTCCGCTGTATTATCATCAGGATTGCCTAGATCCGCCGCTCACCGCACTGCCCGCTGGCCTGTGGATGTGCCCCAATCATGTCGAGAATTTTATAGTAAGTTCATTTGATTGCATTTATCGTCCGCGTGACGCCACTTCCAATTACTCGCTTCCAGGATGCCAATATGACCAACAGCATTTCGGCCACGGAGCGTGTACGCTTGTGGAATCGCTTCCATCAGCCGCTCGATCATGAGAACGTCAAGATGGAGTTCTTTCGGCGGGTCAATACGCGGCATCCGCCGTTCCGGATGAAGTTGAGCATGCGCGCCCGGGCCCACATCGAGGTGCCGGCCATTGTGCGCTATCATTACGAGCATCCGCCAGCGCTGCTGCCCTCCATGCGGCAAACGTTGCGCTACGATCGAGTGAAGCGGCGCAAACAGCTGCCCACCGCTGTGGAGGACATATCCAGGGAGAGCGTTACCGAATCACTGCTCAAGGATCTGGAGGCGTTGCGCTGTGCTCGTGCCAAGTTTCGGGAGATACAAAAAGAGCTCGGCAGCGCCCAACTCGATGGCAGCATTAGCGACAGCGACACGGAAAGCGGCGCGGAACAGCAGCGGGGCAGCAACGGTATAATTGTCACGCCCATGTTGGGCTCCAAGCCGGAGGCAGCTGAAACGGCGCAGAGTCAAAATATAAACAGTGAGCATAATGAGAGTATTAAGCCAACGGCAACGGATCAATCCAAGCCGAACAACTGTCATGTGCAACAGGGTCAGGGCAACCTGGAGATTAGCTACGAGGAGGACGAGGAGGAGTGCAAATCATCGAGTGTCATCATCGATGCGGATCTATGCCATCTGGATGTGGACATAATCAAGAAGCTGGCGCATCAGCGCCTGCAGCAGCTAGTCCACGAGCATCCAGAGATCGTCACCCAGTACAAGAATCGCACGGCCGCACGACGCTTGCGACAGCTCTCGGCCGGCGCACAGCCGGACGGCCAAACAGCGCTGCAGGGCGATCTGGCGCCGGAAGATATGCGTCGCTTCTCGCTGCTCTTCACCAGCGAAACGTCTTCAATACTCGCCCAAAAGAATGCCAATGGCGCCGACGACGATCCGATGATGGCCCTTCATCCGGCGCTGGCAACAGCCGCTGCCATTGCGGCAGCCGATACGGCCGCCGAGAGCTATGTGCCGCGCGAGCGCAGCGACACAGAGAAGGCATATGAGCTGGCCTCCCGGCTGGAGCTGAAGCTGTTGCAGTGCAAGGTGCGGGCGCGGGCGGTGCTAACCCCACTCGGCGATATGCTTGAGGATAGCCGCTGGTTTAGCACACTGGGACTGGAGCAATCAATATTTATGCGCTATCGCACACTGTACATTGGCTATGGCGGCCACTTTACGCCCTCGACAACACTGGCGCACACGGAAACGGTCGATCTGTCAGCTATCGGATATTGTTCGCGGATCTCGCCACAGCATGCGATTATCTTTTATGATGAGTTCACCAAATCGTATGAGCTGATCAATTACTCGGAGTTTGGCAGCGAGGTCAATGGCCAGCTATACACATGCGATCTTACCGAGTACGCGCCCACACATGCCGGCAAACGTATGCGGCCCGATGATGCCGAACTGAAGCGACGCGTCGATGATCTGCTCGACAAGCGGCGGCACATCCAGCGCCAGTACGAGCCCAAGCGTGAAACGCACGGCAGGTGAGCCAGCCCGTTCTAGGTCAAAGATGTCAAGTCAGTTCGATTTGATTTGCCTTCCTTTTCATTTTTTTTTTTTTTGTTAAGTAATCGATAGCGCAGCCATTATGCAATTGTTTTGATTTCTTCTTCCAATTATCGATAGCCGAAATGCAGCCAATAAGCTGCAGCGTGCAAAAGCACAATACACACGCACATGACGACAAGTGTCACCAGCGCATAAACAAACTATAGTACAGCGTTGCCAAGTCAGCTTTTTTTTTTTCTGGCCTAACGTAGCTTTTTTCCGACTTAGCTTTTTCTTTGGCTGCCCAATGAAAAGCCGTTTAGTGCCAATCTACACTGATTTAGCTCTTTTTAGCAGCAGCTAGTTTTCCGACGCGACAGCTGGCAACACTGTTTGTGCCGTTGGTTTAGCGGCAAGTGATATTTTTTCTTTTTTCATTTTGAATTCTTTAAAGTTATCGATAGATCAGCCAGCACAGGGTGTTGTCTGTGAGAAGTGTCATTATCGCATAAACATTAGATATAAACAAAAGGCTTATTTTTTGTTTTCTTTTCTTTTTTGCTTATTTGTTTTAAAAGCAGACTGGCGCCGATTGTGAAACCCGCCTGCCGCTGCCAAAGCGCCTCCGCCGTGCGCATGGTGCCCGGCGCCTGGGAAGGCTCCGCTGTGCTGGCCCATGGCAGCCTGCTGCGTTTTGGCTGCCTCTCGTTCGTCTTCTCGGTGCCATCGACGGATATGATGAACGCGCGGCTGACCAATGCCAAGTGACGGGCCTAGAGAGGATCACACGTGTTTTTAATATACTCCAAGCAGCGCAGCTAGCAACAAGCAAACCAATCTCAGTGATCGGCGATCACAACACACAACACACAGCCAGCAGCCGAAAATGCCGGGAATATATTCCATCCCTCCCCCATAATGCATAATACAATATACAATATACAATATACAATATACAATATACAATATACAATATACAATATAGTGTTAAACATAAGTCGGGCCAGCCAGAGTCCAATTAAATACCGTACGAATTAGAAGGAGATAGACAGAGAGAGAAAGTCAGCGAGTGAGTGTGAGAGAGAGAGAGAGAGAGAGAGAGAGAGAAGTATGGGAAAAGCACAAGCTCTACCTTGCGGTAGCTATAAATTAAGATAGATTGCGTTATAGAACATTTTTTTTTATTACATGTTTTTATTACTAGAGGTATACTCAAAATCGTCGAGGTTCTTTTCTCATTCATCAACAGCTTTATCATCAATTTCCTCTTCCTCTTCTTCTGTAGTTGTATAAAGGAGCATAACAAATAAAGAGTTGTAAGGAAATGGATTTCATTATTGAGTTCATATTTTATCTAAAAACTGGGTTTAAAAACTAAACATAAAATTTGAGTATCGAGTACAATTTAGCTCGCATTTTGTGCAAAACAAAATAATTCTAATAAAAATAATAATAATAAATTAAATAACATTTAAGCGCAAAATATGTTTACACACAAATTGTAAATGAGAATTGAAAATTTATACAAAATGAAAGAAAAAAACAAAAAATTTCCGTGAATATATCTATCAAATTGTATGATGTATACATGTATGCAGTTTATATATATATCTATATATATGGGTGTGTGTGTGTGTGTGTGTGTGTGAATATGGTTGAGCGGAAGGCGCATGACAAATTAAGGTGGAGGCGGCGGCAGAGATTAAGCAATGCTTTACATCTAGATGGTAAGGCATAAGAGGAGGAGTACATAAAGTAATTATATATATATATATATATATATATATATATATACAACAGCATATCGGGGCTGGCATGGGACAGTCTATCCCAGCCCGGAATACGTTAAAGTACATAAGTACGTACGGCTAGACACACTAAAAAGTAACTATCGATTATATATATGGGTGCTGTGCTCTGTGCACAGGCGGCGAACGCTGCCTTTAGATGATCTCGCGGTCTGCCTCGCATTAGGAATTTGTGACTACTCCATCATCCAGCTGCTCCTGCTCCTGCTCCCGTTCCTGCTCCTGTTCCTGCTGCTGCTGCTCTGCGGCAGCTGACTTGGCCGCGGTGCGGCTGGCCCGTGACCGTTCCCATTCCAGTTTGTGCTTGCGCTTGGTGTGATGATACATATTCGACTTGGACCGAAACTCCGTGGGACAGAAGGCGCAGGTGTGCAGCTTAACGCCAGTATGTGTGGCAAAGTGTTCCTGCAACCGAGAATACAAATGTTGAAGTACATATATAAATATTGACTGAAAGCCGGGCAACTGGCCACGTGCCAGCAGATATATTTGTATTTAGCTGTTGCTTACCTCCAGATAGCGCTTCATCTTGAATGACTTGCCGCAGACGTCGCAGGCGTACTTGGCTTTGCTCAGGCAGCGATGATTCTGGCCGGGCACCTCACCGCAGTTGGCACAGATGGGCAGTGCCAGGCTGGGACTGGACGAGGATGTGGTCGTGCTCGTCGTAGCGTTCGTGGTCGTTGGCGTTTGTGTCGTATTGTGCTTGTTGTGCAGGTGATTTTTGAGCGCGCGCTGATTGCGCAGCTGCTGGCCACAGATGCTGCACGTATAGGGCTCAGCAGCAGGTGTTGCCAGTGCCGGAACGTTAGCGGGCGCAGGCGCCACAGCTGGTGTGCTGCAAGCGGAAAATAAGAAAGCAATTGTGGATTGTGTTGAGATTTGGCCATGGGCTACGCACCTGCTTTGACTGGTTAGCGTCACAGCACCAGCAGCAGCAGCAGCAGCAGCAGCTGCTGCCGCCGCCGCCGCTGAGCTGGTGCTGGTGCTAGTACTGGAGCTGACGGCGGCCATGGCTGTTAGCAGTTGCTCCTGATGCTGCTGCATGATTGTGGCACAGAAACGCTGTTGTTGCTGCTGCGTGGCAGCTGCCACAACAGCGGCCACGGCATTGTAGTTGGCCAGCAAAAGCTCGTTTTCCTTGCACGTCTGCAGTTCGCTCTTGAAGCGCTTCTCGTGCAGATCAGCGAACTCCTCGTTGCTGCTGTCTTCGCTGGCGCTAGCGCTGCGAGCCGTATGCTGCACTTTTTTGGGCGAATGCGTCTTGCGGCGGCTGGAGCGTGTCACCCGTTTGGCGGGCGTTGGGCATGTTTTGGACACCGTTAAATTGATGGCCTCCATGGGCTCGCACTTGATGCTGACAATTTTCGGCGACGATGGTAGCACAGTGGGCGCAGGCGTTGATGACACCGGTGGCGCTGCAGCTGGAACTGGAGGAGGAGGTGCTGTTGCTGGTGGTGGTGCTGCTGCTGCTGCATTTATCTTTAGTGTCGGCTGTGGTGTGCTGGACTTCGGCTCGCTGGGCGGCACAATTGATGCATCCATAAGCTTGTCGTTGTTGTCACCATTGATGGTTCTTTGGATTTGCACATTGTTGTTGCTGTTGATCTTGGCCGATTCGCGTTCGTCGCGCGCCTTTTGCCACTGTGTCGTATGCTTGGTCTTCACGTGTGTGTACATGTTGGAGCGACAGCGAAAAGCCATATTGCAGTAGGCGCACGCAATGGGTCGGTCGCCGGTGTGCGTGGCCACATGCTCCTCGAGATAGCGGCGCATTTTGAATGACTTCTCGCAAAACATGCAGGGAAACTTGTGCGCCGCCGCTGCCTTGTGATCGACCTTAAGGTATGATTCGTGAAATTCGGTTTCCTCTTTGACCAGTGCATCGTAAACTGTGGGCGTGTCATCGCCAACGGGCTCCGTGTCAAGGTCTGGGTCTGGGTCAGGGTCAGGGTCCTGCTCATAATCGATGATGGCCGTCGCATCGCCCTCCTCCGACCAGTTGACATCGCAGTCAATTTCTAAGAACTGACTGCAGAGCGTTGTCTGCTTGTGCTCCACCAGCTTCCAGAAGTTGTGGAAACTCTCCAGTTGCGCACAACAATCCGTGCAAATGGACGTCGAAATGGCATCGTCGCGAGAGAGCTATGCGCATATGGGTGAAAGAACAGTTAAAACAGAACGCATTTGGGGCTGGCGCAGCCACCTGCCCACGCACTGGAGGCACAGCGTTAACTTACACAGAGATATAAATGCGTCGATATCAATTGAACCAAATAGTTTTCCGGTATTGGCTTGTTGTCGCTGTTGCTCTCGTTCTCGGCACCAGTGAACAGCAGCACGGCATTCTGCTCGTCCAATGTGTTCAAGCACAAGCGACAAATCATTGCGTTAACCAACTAAACGAACTCACGCAACATTAGCACTATTTTGACATTTATTTTATTTATTTCCAAAGTTGCGGATGGATCTAGAGCTGGCAAAACAATCGATGGCACTACTGGCTAAAAATATCGATTGCTTTTACTAACCACACTCCGGCTATCGATAACAAGCACACACGATGTGACTATTGAAAATAATACTAAAAATAGTACTAGAAAATATACCAAACAAAATGCAATCGTTTCGAAACTTTATTTTCACAAACTACTACAAATGATTTCAATAATTTAAAATCTTGATACTACTCGATACACATATAATTCCATTCAGTCGTATTGTATTGGAAATGCTATGGTCGTTAGCTCACCGCCAGCCGCTAGCACCTCGTAATGATAGCTATCTTTGACCGTTACCATGGCGTTGGCCTTGAAGGGCACGTTAATGCAATTGAATCGGAAATTTGGAAACCTTGATAGCCCGGATACCATATCATAGCCCTCTGTCAGCTTGCTGGTCCAAACGGAAATCGTATCGAAATCGAGACCTTCCCGATTGCAAAGCTTGACAGCTTCGTTTAGAGACCGAAACGTATTTAGCGTTATAATCGCTGTGGGCTTATCGCCAAAATAGACTTGGGGGAAATCCAGGACCATAATGGGAGATCTGGGTTTCATTCTGCCATATAACTTTTGTTTGTCGGACGGGTCGAACTCTTCTATATAAACAGTTTTACAATTCATTCGCTCAATCAGCTTAAGGGTGTTCAAAAAGTTCGGATGCTCTGGTATTCGCTCGTCCATCAGCTCCATGCGAGCACGTATTTTCCGTATTATAGTCTGACGCAACGGCTCCTGCACCAGTATGCTGGCAACGAGGCCCGTACCAATTGGATGCTTCAGATCCTTAACGGCCGCTTCGACCACTTGGTTAACATTGCCCGTGGCGAACAGAACTATCATTTGGGGGGCAACCCACCTCCTGTGGGTGCCATCCTCGGGATATAGGTAGACATGTCGCTTCAGCAGATGCGAATAGATATCCTCGACACCTTCTGTGATATTCGGCAATCCCTTGAAGCGCGGCAGAATGTCACCATCCGCATCTTTTTCGGAATCAGCTTGTCCATCATCGTGATTATCCATTGGGACAATTTTAAATTTTAGCTAGTTCAACTTAAACAAACTAGGAATTAATTCGCCTGAGAAATGAGTGTAAACGAAAATGTTACGAAAGTAAACAGCTTTACATTTCCATCGGGTCAAAAGAAAGTTGCGGCCAGCTTCCGCTTCCTGGTCAACATGTACATATGTACATATGTACACATAATCTCATAATTAAAATACTTTCACTGGTCAAAAGTTGCCATTCACCGGAAAACGCACATTCACACCGACAGAGGGACACGCGGACAGACGGGCCAGCAGACTGATTGGTGGTGAGTTTCTTTTGTTGCCCTTTATATGCATAGGGTATACTCAACACGAACACGCATGTTGGCAACGCCTGAGAGAGCCCTAAGAGTTTACATATATTTTATATCTAGCATACTATTTAGAAATAAAGCTATGTTGATAATGGTTGGCCTTACACCAACTTTGGATTGTTAGGGTATTCCAGCTTCGCCTCGATTAAGTGGCTTGTTTTCCTTTTTGTTTTGACATTCAATAGGTCGCTGCTGTTTCGTTTGTTGCCTTCATAGGGACGGATGCGGTAGGAAAAAAGCACGCTGTGTGTCTTTCTGTCTGTGTGTGTGTGTGTGTGTGTGTGTGTGTGTGTGTGTGTGGGTGTGTGCTCGTGTGTATAAATAGCCGAGCGAACCGCAGGATTCGCTAACATTGCGTGTGTTTCGCTTCACAGAGACGCTCCAAAGTTCGCTGGGCAGTCGGTCGCGAGGGCGCCTATAAATAGGCAACGCTTAATTTGGAATCAATTTGGGAGCTGCGTTTCGCCCGAAGCATGCGAGGACAATAGATAGCAGTGCAATATGGAGATGTCGGGCTATCAGGATATCAGCGCATTGGAAAAATCGGTAAGAATAATAACGACAAGTAGGTAAACAGAAAAGAAATCATCGCATGACCGCCTGATCCTAGGTGGCCAATGCTGGCACCCAGCTGTATACGATGGCCCATAAGCTGCACGCTGTGGAGCGCAGCTTGGATCAGACGGCAATGGAGCAAATGGACGAAATGGAGGTAATGGAGCTGCTCGAGTCCATGACCGAGGTGAAGAACGAGTATCAGAATCTGCGCAAGGACATACAGGAGGTGCAGCAATTGCAGCGTGACGTCAGCACCTCGATACGCTATCAAATGACCAACATGCAGCAGACATTTCAAATGCTAAAAAAACGCATTGCCTCATCCCAGCAGCAGCGCCGCCAAAGGGAACAGCGACAGAGCACCACCGTGGCGGCCAATCAGCATTGAGCCAACAAATTGTGGCATGTGGGCATAGTGTAGTGTAGCGTGTACTGTAGCGTGTAGTGTAGCGTATAGTGTTGTGTAGCAGCGTGTAGAGTAGTGCGTAAGTCCGATGCGTGACGGGCGGGTGGCAGAGGGGTGGGGGCCCGTAGTTGACCTAGGCAGGCTGTTTATGAATTTAATATGATTTTTATTGATTTCGCATTAGTTGAACTGAATTTGCGGTTGCCTGCTCGAAGAAAAGAAAAAAAAAAGAATAAACCCTATATACACATACACACATACATATATATATATATATATATATATATATATGTATCTATATATAGATAAGAGAAATATTCCTGAGTGGGTAACCTGTTGCCATACAAACCTACAAGCCTACACAAATACGTACGTACATACATGGTAATCGTGTCAAATTGTTGGATATTCCTTGAAATCAACAGACAAACAAAGCAATCTTTTTTTATCGTCATATGTCTGAGCAATCAGAAACACGTACATATGTATGTGTACTATAACAATATCAAGAAGCAACAACAAAAGCTTTTTTATACACAATACAAATCCTAGAACAAAATACTTATGCTCGTAACTCGTAACTTTAACTACTTGAGAAAACACACACACATATACAAACATAAGTTGTAAGCAATTTCCTCGAAAACTCTAAATACTTTACGATGCAAATGCAAAATGTCTGATACCATTTGAAAAGAATGCACATTTTCAAACAACAACAAATTTGCCTTAACATAACCATATTATACTAATTTTTGATATATACACATTTTAATATTAAACTTAAGCTTATCATTTCTATTACAATGATAGGCATTAGCGAAATCTTTTTTGTTTTCGTATTTTTTTCGGGATATTTGTTGTTATTAAATTGTATAAGCAATCAAAATAAAAAGCACATAAAATAATAAATAAAATTGGAGTGTTATTCAAATAACGCGCCAATTTCTGTTGAATTTCTGTTGTGCTGCAGCCTGCGATGTGGCCTTAATCGATATACGCGACGTGCATCACTAGCAGTTTAAACGATAGTATATCGATAGTTGCAGCAGGAATTGTTTTGTGATTCTGTGTCGCGGTGGGTTCGCACTCTAATTTTAATATATGTGTTTATTTACGTGTTGCGTTTATAGTTCAATTAATGGTATTGTAAATATTGTGTTGCTGCAACCAATTGGATGCTGTTGCGGGTCTGCGTAGTGCGTAATTGGGGTCGTGTGTCGAGTGCCAGTCCCACAGGTAAGTTATAAGCGGCTCTTGACGTGTACGTCATCAAGCCCACGGCAGCCAGCAGTGCAAAAGAAAGCAGCCACAACAAGCAGGAACAGTGCTGAATTACGCATCAGGTGTCGTCTAGTGTGCAAAGTGCTCGGTTTAAACTGCAATCGGTTTTGCATATCGGCATTTGAGAAAAGTGACCACATTCCAATTATCGACTAGTGCAACAAGTGTCTTGCGATCTCGCTTCCGCTCACAGCCAGCAGCCAATTGTAAACGCTGCGCGGCGCGCGCGCCTGCGCCTACGCTTTGTATTGTTGTTGTTGTCGTTGCTGTTTACGTTGCTTACGTGTCGCGTCGCGAAATGTACGCTTGCGCTTACGTAGTCGTGCTCGCATTTACGTGCCTCGCCGCCGCCAGCCCACGTCCCAGCAGCACCAGCACCAGCACGAGCACGAGCACAGTTCCCCCCGCCCTCGAACACGTCCAAGTTGTGGAGGAGGGCGCTAGCTTTTTAGATAATGCGCATTATCTGAACAATGAGGAAATTGGCGAACTTTTCGCCAGCCTCAGCCGGGACTATCCGACGCTTGCCCAAACCTATACCATAGGCCGCACCATACAGGGCCGTGAGATGCACGCCCTGGCATTGAATGCGCCGGCACCCGATGGCGACGGCGACGATCTGCTGCGTCCAATGGTTAAATTGGTGGCCAACATCCAAGGCGACGAGGCACTGGGCCGACAAATAGTGCTCTACATGGCCGAATACCTGGCCAGCAGCTATGAGCTGGATAAGCAGGTGCAACGTCTGCTCAACACCACCGAAATACACTTTCTGCCCAGCTGCAATCCGGATGGCTTTGCCGCCGCCAAGGTGAGTCAGACATATTATTAGCTCAAATTAGTACCAAAATTTGGGGATACAGTTCCCTGGAATGCCAGAGGAATATCAAACAACTTTCTATCGCGAACATTGAAAGTGTCGGGAGTGCCCGACTTGAAAATACCCTGCCCCTACACACATTGTAGCTGAGTTTCTTCCCCTCACCCCCGACTATGAAGTAAGTCGATTTATAATGAGGTCGCCGTTGCTTTCTTCTGCCTTCCTGGCTCTCTATATACTCCATTCCCCTCGAGAGCAGGAAATATTATTAAGTTTTGTTCTTTTAATGAACAGCTGCAGATTGAGTGTGACCCCAGGAAAAGTGAATGTACACGTCGTGTGTCTGAGGCCTCTGAGTCACCCATATGGCTTGAACTTGTTCCTCAATAATAATGAGCCAAGTGTCGAGCTGCTGTGCCGTCGCTTTTGTTCCCCACGAGGCGTATTGTATTTTTTCCCCTTGTTTCTTGTGGAAACTCTGCGCCCTTTCACAACTGAATCAAAACTAAACAGCGTGGCAAACGAATCCAACAAATCCGCTACGTGGAGCAGAGCAGAAACCGCTTTTAAAGAGCATTCGGCCCAGTTTTTTCTTTTTTTCTTTTCTTGAGTTGAACTTGTTTGAGGTCAGCTCAGCACGATCAACTAATTAGCATCTGCAGATCGCCATTGAGCTAAGTGCTTGTGTATATATTCATAGATCGAGTGATCGCCAAGTGATCCACTTGAGTGCTCTTCACTTTGATGGGTAACTATTTTCTTTTCGCTATTTGTTGTGAAGTACTTATTAAGCCTCTGCGAGCACTTGAAGGAATATTATTAGCTACCTACAAGCAATGCGAGGAGTGTAACAGTTGCGTTAACATTCACTTAACTGTTAACTAACATCATGTTAACTAAATAATATTAGCCACCTACAAGTAATGCGGAGAGTGTAACAGTTGCGTTAACATTCACTTAACTGTTAACTAACATCATGTTAACTAAATAATATTAACTACCTGCAAGTAAGTGTTACAGTTGTGTTAACATTCACTTAACTGTTAACTAACATCATGTTAACTAAATAATATTAGCCACCTACAACTAATGCAAGGAGTGTAACAGTTGCGTTAACATTCACTTTACTGTTAACTAACATCATGTTAACTAAATAATATAAACTACCTACAAGCAATGCGAGGAGTGTAACAGTTGCGTTAACATTCACTTAACTGTTAACTAAAATCATGTTAACTAAATAATATTAGCCACCTACAAGTAATTCGAGGAGTGTAACAGTTGCGTTAACATTGACCTAACTGATAAATAACATAATGTTAACTAAATAATATTAAATAATATTAGCTAAATACAAGTAATACGAGGATTGTAGCAGTTGCGTTAACACTGACTTAACTGTTAACTGACATCATGTTAACTAACATAATGTTAACGAAATGCCGCATCTTTGACGGGCTTCATAGCACATGCTATTCCAAATGTATTCTTATATCTGGGCTTATTGTCCCTGCATCAGTGGCAGGTAAAGAAACACGCTACATTTCGAATGAAATATCGATACTTATCGATTTTTATCGATCACATTAAACAAACTTGGTGCAAATCGATCTGATAGCGAAATTTGCTCTGGGTTAAATAGTTATCGAAAACCCAGAACATTATATCGGTTAAATAGTTATCGAAAACGCAGAAAATTATATCGCGAGCGTTATCGATAATTGGCAATAAGACAGATGGACACAGATATATCGGACCGGACATTGACGTTGAGCAAACTACATTTACAACATAACAAGAAATACAATATTATCCATTATGTAATACAAATTATGAGTAAAAAGTAAAAAGCACGAATGGAAAGATGATCCGAGTTATGTTCAATTACACAGCTCGTAATTCTATAGCACGTATACTCAATTAACTAAAGACATTTAATCCTTCCGCAATTCACTTTAATTAACACCTTATCACCGGTCCAACACTGCACTACAAAGTTCAAGTTCAATTTAGTTGTCTTTATGCAAATATTAGCTTTTCTCTGGCTCTCTGGCTCTCAGCCATTGCCAGCTGTCATCTTCGGCTCATATGTGTGCTTATGCATATGTATTATATCTTCCATCTAATGCCGGTTTCCCATTCCCCTGCTCAGACCACCCCCGACTTTTCCATTCCCCTTCATTCAAGCGTTTGTCGTTTGTCGGTCTTATCGCAAATAACTTTTTGTTTGTTTTTCTGTTCGGTTTTTTTTTTTATAATATCCTTATGGAGGGGTACTTTGATTTTATTCTGCAAAATGTCATGACTTATCGAAAGTTAGAACTGGAAATTGAAATTATTATTTCGATATATTTCTTTTGCAAAATGCTCCATTTCATATTTCATCCAAAACTATCATGCTCTTATTTGACACATTAAAGCAGCTGTCTTTGCTTCAAACTCTTTTCATACGTTTACTTCTTGTTGTCAAAAAGAGCATTTCATCTTCGGCTTTTTCGTATGTATATATAATTCTAATTTTGCTCTGGCTGCGATTTGTAGCACATTTTGCTATAACATATTGTAGTTATTGTCGTAAAGTCGCTTATCGCTCGCCTAACGGGCCGCTATTAATGGGGCCATTAACGCTTTGCGTTGACTTTCAAATCTTATCGCGATATCGATAATATAACTGTCCTCAGCTTAACGGGAATTACGACGTCAAGCCTTAAGCTATATTCTGACCAGGGCTGCAAAGTCAACAAAGTAAGAGGTTCTAGTCGGGAGCTCCCGACTAGCAGATACCCTGAACTCTCTTCTTCCACCAGGCGATAGCTAAAAAAGGAAAGACACTTGATATATATATACTATTCTAGAAGCTACATGTCAAGTTTGGTGACTCAAGCTCTTATTATTTACCAAAATTGCTCAAAAGACAGGATTTCGATATCGATTTTTATCGATTACTTGGAAACGCTGCAAGTTATCGAATATCGGAAACAAACTCGATCTGCGCGGGGACTAGGAGGACCTACAGCTTAAAGCTTTCAAGTCTATAGGCTCTGAGATCCTTGCGTTCATATGTACATACGGACTGACAGACGGACGGACATGGCTAGGGTCGGAGATGCTTCCTTCTGCCTGTTACATACATTTGCACAAATACATTATACCCCTTTTACCCATTTTCAATGGGTTCAGGGCATACAAATAAAATGGTGTGTGCTACGGTTCATGGTTTGAACCAGCTCCCTGCTTTTTAAAACTTATCGCATTGTCGATAATATAACTGTCGTCAGCTGAACGGGAATTACGACGTCAAGCCTTAAGCTATATTCTGACCAGGGTTGCAAAGCCCAAAAATAAAATGGTGTGTGCTACGGTTTATGGTTTGAACCAGCTCCCTGCCTTAAGGTTCGTTTCGTAAAGCTGGTTTTGAACATTTTAGTGAAACTATTCAATGCTTTATCTATGTACACTTAAGGCAGAATCAGGCTTTAAAGCTTTTTATATTGAACCAAAGAAAAACAACAACATATGGTTCAGTTTTGGGTTCATAGTTCGGCTCAGGTTGGATTCGTGGTGAAAAACTTGTTAACAATTCCGGGCTCGAGTCGCTTCGTTTTAGCCTTGATGCTGACACTAGCCGGACATTCAGCCTAAAGAGTTGCGATGCGGAGTTGGATTCTTGAATTCGCCACGCAACGCGCCGCAATCCGTTCGCCTTCTCGTCTGACCTTTAGGTGTCCGCCCGATTAGATTAGCCCGTCACAAATTGGTCATAACGTTGCCCCCGACAGCTGCAGCTGACAGCCGGGTCTATAAATAAAGGGCCAGCATATTGGGCTGGTGTCAATCTTCGACCAGTTGACGTCATCTGTTGCAATTGCCACAAGAAACTGGTTCAGCTGCCGCAGCCAGCAACTACGTCAACGCGCGACGACGCAACGTTGCATGCAACCGGTTTGTGGCCAATGTTGTTGCCGTTGCCGTTGTTGTTGCCGTTGTTGTTGTTGTTGTTGTTGTGGATATACTCTGCACTTCTTAATGCCCTGCCCTAGCAACGGCATTAAGCTCCACGAGGATTACAACTCGAGCTGGAGAGCTTATTCTGCGGTCTCTTGCACGCGCCACGCAAATGAGGCATAAGCTCTTCGGCTTATCGCCGGGAATAGACAAGCTGAAGCCTGGCAAAGTGTGCGGTTTCCTTTAAAGCATACACTATCTGAAAGTTCTATAAACGTAAAGTATACTTTAATCTAAAATCTTTCCCCGAAAAGATTTCTGGAAACAGTTAGATGATTCATCTAAAAGTCGAGCAGCTAATTTGAGAGCAGAGTTAAACCCTTCAAAAGAAATTCGCAACATAAAAAAATAAAAAAATAGAGTATTTTCCAGTGAAACTGTTCGTTTTGACATTTTTTTAAATTACTTCTTTTCGAAGCCAAGAGTACATAATATTTTCTATATTCCGTTAAGCGCATTGACAGGCATTTTCCACTGTAAAAGCGGTTTTTCTTTTGCCTTCTTTGAGATGTCAATTAGTTTTGTTAGATTTGTTGTTTGTTTGTCATTTAAACCACATAATTATGTAGGTCATGAGTTTGAAGTCGTCTAGCACAATGGAGCATAAATTTAGACATTCAACTTTGATATTTGCAACAAACCGAGAGGCTTGCATAAATAGAGGTTGCACCCAAAATGGCATACGAATATGCAAAAGTGTTTTTTTTTTTTTGTTTTTTTTTTGGTTTATCAAAAATTGCCAAAGAACTACAAGAGATATGAGAAGAGCTGCGGAATTTGCCGTGTACAGGTAACAGCTTGTAATACAGATCTTGCTATATGCCGACCTTTTCATTATGTGCGCCATGCTGATAATGATTAACGTCGGCTCGCGACAGCGGCAGCAGAAGCAGCGGCAGCAGAGCAGCGGCAGAGGGCTGATAAGAACGCAATAGCAAATAACCGCCTGAACTCTCTCTGTCATTGTGTGTATGGGCAATGCCCACGCAAAATGCCGCTGTGACGTCACTGGACCAAGTTATCGATTTTGTTGTTTGTCTGAGGTTGGCGAAAATAATAATATCCTTTCAATTGCTGACACATGGGTCGCGTGCGTTGGCGTGCCTGACGCTGGGCGAAACTGGCGTCGGCAGCGCTGCTAACGTCAATGCGTTCGCTCTCTCTCTCTCTCGGTTATTATCGTCGCCGCCGCCGCCGTCGCCGCCACTCTCCTTGACTGACTTGCGCAGGCGCCTGACTTGCATCTGGCAACGCCGCCTACACACCGCATAGTCCGAAGAGCTGTGCCAAAAACACAGAAAACAAATACAAAAAAAAAAAACAATGTGTAATGAAGAAACCAAACGAAGTACATACATAACATAAAAATTAAACACAATAAAAAACTGAAAACTATTAATTTGTGCTTAAACGCAAAGTTGTCGCCGCAATGCGGCAATAACAAAACAAAAACAACAGAAACATTAGCAGCAGCAGCAGGCAGTTACAACAACAACAACAACAACAACAAAACTCGTGACTGACGAGCGCAAAGCTTCGGCGCGCTCTCTGCCGTGTAATTTCCCTACAATTATCGCACGTCGTCGCTCTCAGCAGCAGCAGCAGCAGCAGCGTCGGCAGCGTTGGCAGCGACGTCGACAGCGGCAGTGGGACCGCGGGCGGGCAGCACGGGCTTAAGGCCAATCAACGCAGCAAATTTTCAAACAGTACATTTTTCGAAGCTGAGTCGAACCGATTGGAGCTGCTGCACAATAACAACAGCCACAGCAACTGTGACCCATACGAACGCCGAGGCACGCGGGCTTCGACCTGTATCTAAGCGGCCCGCTCGCTCAATTTGCACGCCAGTGATAACTAACAGTCGGCATCGGCATCGGCATCAGCAGCAGAAGCAGCAGCAGCAGAAGAAACAGTAACAGTAACCAGTTGGACATTTAGCCATGATGCAGTGGATATTCGCTCTGGCACTGATACCGTTAATCGCTCAGGGCTACATTATCAAAGAGGATGAGAGCTTCCTACAGCTACCGCATTATACTAGCCAGGAGCAACTGGAAGATCTGTTTGCCCGGCTCGAGAAGGCCTATCCGGAACAGGCGCGCGTTCACAGTCTCGGCCGATCGCTGGAGGGACGAAATTTGTTGGCCCTTCAAATCTCGCGCAATACACGCCAACGACCGCTGCTGACGCCGCCCGTCAAATACATTGCCAATATGCACGGCGATGAGACGGTCGGGCGACAGCTGCTCGTCTATTTGGCCCAATATCTGTTGGGCAATTTCGAGCGTAGCCTGGAGATTGGCCAGCTGGTGAACACCACCGACATATTTCTGATGCCCACCATGAATCCCGATGGCTATGCCCTGTCCCAGGTACGTGCGCCGCTGTCGTCACCTGTTTCTAGCAGCAACAAAAAAACACAAAAAAAAAAAAGACAATGAAGCAGATTAAATAATCGCATCGTGGAAAAATCGATAAGTGTGAAATTTCAGACAGCGTCACCCGCCCATGCCGCAGCTGCGTCTGCCGCATTTGTAGAATTTTTCCTGATGCCAGCGCTGACGTCGCGGCGTCACGGCTTCACGGCGCGTCGCTGCTGTTGCGCACTTGCGATTTGATTGAGTTAGGGCACAATTCTCACTCTCTCTCTCTCTCTCTCTCTCGCACGCCCCATTGTTGTTGACATATTGCGAAAGCTTGTTGCTTTTGTCTCTGAGTCGTACACTTGTTTTGTTTATAATTAACCGTTGGGCGGTTAGGCTCTAGTAAGCACACCACTACACATGCAATACATGCTCATATACATACATATACACACACACAATTATATTGCGATTATTATGGCTATCGATATTCATTCTGTAATATTTGGCATCGTAAGCACTTTACACCCCCGCATATGCACTTGGAAACAAATAATAATATCGATATTAATTTAATGCAATTTTGAACTCGACCCTTCTGCTCACGCACACACGCACTCGCACAGACTTGCATGCTGCTATCAATATTGATTTCGTTATAAATACCCCTTCCATTCATTTGCATGGCGCCGTGTGGGTTATTTTCGCCAGTTTATGCTGTGTGTACCTACCCAAAATGTACTCCAAAGCTTTCGCTCGGCAACTTCGCTGCTATTTTTGGCAATTGCCAGACGCACAACTCAACTGTGAATAGAATAGGAATTTCCCCGGCTACAGGGATTTTTTGTTTTTTGTATTGTTGGTGGAAAGACAGATGATACCCAATATGAGTGAGCCACTTTGTGTGATCGGCCATTGTGACTAACCTACATACGCAAGAGCATGCATGCATATACTAAATACGTTTATATATGTATGTATGTATGTACGTATGTGTGCGTGTATTTATTCTGAACGTGCACGTTATTTGTTTGTTTATTAATGCAATCGAGTCGCGCCAATTGTCTCTACCCGTCTCGCTTGTTCGTTCATATGTACATTGGCGATTGATTGGCACTTGCTCCAATTGGAAATTGCGCCAATATGCTTCTGATTGGAAACTACAGCTGAACAGCTAAGCTTGATCGTAACTTGATTTCCCTCTTACGGCTACTCTCGCCTAATGCATTGATTATGGATGGTGTTGCAAGAGCTTTTGCGATCCGATCACCTGACTGTCATATTAAAGACAAGTTTGGTCAACTCTTTGGGCCGCGCGCGCGTGCGGAATGCCAAATTGCCCGACCGACCGACCGACCGCCCGGCCGCAAAAGCACAAGGCCAGGGGCGAGCGCAGGGCTTCGTGCTAATAACAATTCACGTAATCAACGATTTAATGAATTAACCAATATACTGACTCGCTCTCTCTCTCTCTCTCGCTCTCGCTCTCTCTGGCAGGAGGGGAACTGCGAATCGCTGCCAAATTATGTGGGACGCGGCAATGCAGCTGGCGTCGATCTGAACCGTGACTTTCCGGATCGCCTGGAGCAACAGCATGTGAATCAGCTGCGCGCACAAAGCCGCCAACCGGAAACGGCCGCTTTGGCCGAATGGATTGTGAGCAAGCCGTTTGTGCTCTCGGCCAATTTTCATGGCGGCGCCGTCGTGGCCAGCTATCCGTATGACAACTCACTGTAAGTGGTCCGCCCCCCTCCCCCTCCACCCACCTGGCTTTAATCGAAACCCGAACTCATTCCATCCAACACGCATATCCATAGGGCGCACAACGACTGCTGCGAGGAGAGCCTCACGCCGGACGATCGCGTCTTCAAGCAGCTGGCGCACACGTATTCCGACAATCATCCGATAATGAGGCGTGGCAACAACTGCAACGACAGCTTCGCTGGCGGCATCACCAACGGCGCCAACTGGTACGAGCTGTCCGGCGGCATGCAGGACTTTAATTATGCATTTAGCAATTGCTTCGAACTGACCATCGAGCTATCCTGCTGCAAGTTTCCGGCGGCGAGCAGCCTGCCCAGCGAATGGGCGCGCAATAAGCGACCATTGCTGGAGCTGCTGAAGCAGGCGCATATCGGCATCAAGGGTCTGGTGCATGATGCCAGCGGCTATCCCATACCGGATGCGACCATCGTTGTCTCCGGCCTCGAGGACAAGCCCATACGCACATCAAAGCGTGGCGAATACTGGCGACTGCTCACGCCCGGCATTTACAGTGTCTACGCGGCAGCCTTTGGGTAAATCAAAATTCCAACAGAGCCTCACAATTTTTGTTCGCCACTCACGAACTCTGTATACCCTTTCCGTTTCCTCCGCACAGCTATCAATCGAGCCCGATGCAACAGCTGCATGTGACCAACGAGAACGCGGAGGCGCTGCGCGTCGACTTCAAGCTGACGCCCGTCGAGAGCAACTTTGATGGTATTAGCAGTTATTACAATCCATACTTTTTTAGGCATTAAATGCGCCCGCCCCAACTGCAACTCCAACTGCAGCAGCAGCAGCAACCGCAGCAGCAGCAGCAGCAGCAGCAATGATTCCATCTCCATACTGCACCAACTGCATCGGTCTATTGCCTAACACTGATTGAAGCATTGTTAACACTACTAACATTTGTGACATTTGCCACGCCTGCCACGCCCACAAATTATGCACGCCCATCACACACATATAGACACCCACACTAACGCATTTTTCTTTTGTATATTTTTGCTGCATTCACATAAAGTTTTCGTCTTTGTTTTTGACTTTTTTTATACGTTTTACTTTTCAATATCATTTTTTCATTTAGTTTTTCTCGCTTTTTCGCTACTGCCAGCCGCTTTTAAGTTCTCTCAAGCACACACTCTCCTGCTCTCCTGCTCTCTCGCTCGCTCTTTCTTCCTTTTTAAGGCACGGCTTTGGAGTGCATATCAATTCGTAAAGATAGAGTGAGAGAGAGAGAGACAACAATATTTGATTTGTACATATGAATAGGATATGCCCTCCCACGCCCTCCCACGCCCTAACTAAACGAGCTATAAAATGGCCACAACGCACACTGAATACCCTGCCCTCACTCTCAATTACACAATTATATGAATATATATATATATATACATATATATCTGTCTATATATTATCGTATTATTTAGAAGCAAGTGAAACCATGTGTAAAAATTATATAAACGCAACTATATATCTAACCAAACTAACCTTATATACATATATAAATATATATATAAATCTATAAACCCTTAATATCTCATATACATATATACATAGATATATGTATATATATATATACACGTATGTTAACACGAGATTGTTAAAATGTTATTCCCTTTTTTTTATGCGAGCAACAAAAACGTCTGAAACATTGTTAACATATATTATACACATATAGAAGAAATCAAATATATAGAAAGATGACAAAGCACAAAATCGAACAAATAGTACTAATACGAAATACGAAATGATAATGGCTTTAACAAAACAAACAAATATATATTTATATATACAAAAATACAAAAGGAAAACAAATTAATAATAATAATAATAGCCTTTTGCATATGGCAAAATAAAATTTTTGATTTTTGCGTAGTGCGTTTTATTTTCCTATGCAAGAAACAGCCCGAAAATCCCATAAAAATACAAATAAAAATAAATAGAAGTAATTAAATTCAAGCAACTATCAACAATTATTATAATAACGCACATTTATTTCCCCATATATATACATATTTATATATATATCTTGATCTGGTGATTGTTACTGCATATATATACATACATATATTCAAATTTTCTTCAAACTAGATTTTATTATAAAGTATTTTAAATTTAAATATAATAATATCCTGATCCTCGTATATCTAAAGTTTATTAATATACATACATATATATATATATATATATATAAAATATATATACATATTTACGAAATTGTTCATAGCTGCCACTGCACTGGCCAAAGAAGCGGAACTAGTTCTATTTTTTTTATTAATTTTGATTTTCTTTCTTTAAGCTTAAGCAAACAAAATTCTCTTTACGAAATGGCAATTCGAACTCAGGGCTTGCATATAGTTAACTATTCATTCGATTTATTGTATTATTGTTTGACAACTTGATCCTAATGCGGAACTAGTTCAGTTTCTTTGAGGTTATGTTTAGCTTAAGCAATACAAATTCCTATATACAATTTGAGAAATTATGAACTCAGGGTCTTGCGGGTCTTGCGCGTGTTTATTGCCAGTCGTGTGGCTGTTGTGAACTTTAACTCAAATTAAGTAAATCCCCATTTTTTTCAATTCTGTTTCTTGTTCTTGAGACTTTCGCTCTGTTTTTTTTTTTAAGCTATTGAATGAAATAAATATACTTATTGCAAGCAAACTGCAAATTGGTTAAAATTGCTTTTCAACTGGCGCCTGGCTTCATTTAATAGTTACCCATTTTGGTTTCGCTTAAAGGTTTTGGGACTTGTGGACTTGGCTTTCTTAATTTGTACTTTTGCTTTTATTTCCTAGACTAGTCACCACCCCCACCCCCCCCCCCACCCTTCCCCTCCTCCAACTTGATCCTCCTTGATCTTAATGTTCAATTTTTTTTGTTTATCGGCAGGCAACTTTCGCAAGCAGAAAGTGGAGCGCGCCGAGCCGCCGGATCAGCTGAAGCAGCAATACGACGGCTTCCTGACGCCCACGAGATTCGAGCATCACAATTTTGCGTCCATGGAGAGGTGAGTCCTGGCGCCCCAACCATTCCTCAACTATTCCTCAACTTGTCAAATTGTCTGTTGCAGTTATTTGCGCAACATGAGCGCCAGCTATCCGAGCCTGACGCGGCTCTATAGCATCGGGAAGAGCGTGGAGGGCAGGGATCTGTGGGTGCTGGAGATCTCAACGACGCCGGGCAGCCATGTGCCGGGCGTGCCCGAGTTCAAATATGTAGCGAATATGCATGGCAACGAGGTCGTCGGCAAGGAGATGCTCCTGCTGCTGACCAAATATCTGCTGGAGCGCTATGAGAATGATGAGCGTGTCACGCGTCTGGTGAATGGTACACGGATGCACTTCCTCTACAGCATGAATCCCGACGGCTATGAGATATCGCGCGAGGGCGATCGCACCAGCGGCCTGGGTCGGCCCAATGCCAATCAGGTGGATTTGAATCGCAATTTTCCCGATCAATATGGCACAGATAAATACAATAATCATACCGAGCCGGAGGTGGCCGCCGTCATGAACTGGACGCTCTCGGTGCCGTTTGTGTTGTCGGCGAATCTGCACGGCGGCTCGCTGGTGGCCAATTATCCGTACGATGACAATGAGAACGATTTCAATGATCCGTATTCGCGGCTGCGCGATGCCAGCATCAGTGGACGCAAACTGAATCCCACCGAGGACAATGAGCTGTTCCGCCATCTGGCGCTCGTCTATTCGCGCGCCCATCCCACCATGCATCTGGGCAAGCCGTGCGCCCTCTTCCAGAACGAGCTCTTCGCCGACGGCATCACCAACGGCGCCCAATGGTATAGCGTGACGGGCGGCATGCAGGATTGGAATTATGTGCGCGCCGGCTGCCTGGAGCTGACCATCGAGATGGGCTGCGACAAGTTCCCCCTGGCCAAGGAGCTGCCACAGTATTGGCGCGACAATCGCGAGCCCCTGCTCCAGCTGATCGAGCAGGTCCACCATGGCGTCCATGGCTTCGTGCGCAGCAGCATCGGGACACCGATCGCTGGCGCCGCCGTCGGCATTGACGGCGGCAATCATAGCACCTACAGTGGCACCTTCGGCGACTACTGGAAGCTAACGCTGCCCGGCCGGCACAATGTCACCGTCCTGGCCGATGGCTTTGCTCCGCTGCGCGTCGAGGTCGAGGTGCCCGACGCGGAGCCGTTCGGCATGCGGCTCGATGTCACACTGATGCGCGACGATCCACAGCACTGGGCGTCCGCCAACGATTTCCGGATCATCGAGAACGTGGTCAACACCAGATACCATACCAATGCCGAGCTGCGCAATCGACTGGCCGAATTCGAGAATCAGAATCCGCAAATCGCCAGCTTCGGCTATGCGGACAACGAGTTCAGTCGCCACTTCAACTACCTCAAGCTGACCTCCAATGTGAGTTGGAATAATCGTATAGAAATCCCATATCCTGCTGCCCCAAGTGCAGGGCTTCACTCATCCTTCATCAACTTTCGAGTCATCTGTCATTTTATGCCCCGAAGATCTAGACTTCATGTGGGAGGAGCTTCTCATTTTGGTTCGATAGCTTTTTCAATTTTCATAATATCGATAAATATCGATTTTGGGAACTGGTTTTAAAAATGCACCAAATTTGCTATTAAGGTTCTCCTTAAGCATATAAGTTTCCCTTTGACCTTTTCTATGTCACATTTAAGCCCTGAAAATTTCATCAAAATCGGATTATGAATACCGAAATTATCAATCAAGAACGCATTTCCCCTACATAGACATAGGATGGGCCTGAGGGAAGAAGAAGCAGAGCTCAAAAAGGGCTCAACACTGAGTTCAATCTATCCACCAATCGGTCCGACTAAAGCCCTCTTGTTTTGTTTTAATCAATTAGATGTGAGGTTAGTTTCTAGATGTGAGATTTGAGGTTAGTTTCTAGATATGAGGCTAGTTTTTAGTTTCTAAATGTGAGGTTAGCTCCTAGATTTGAGGTTAGTTTCTAAATATGAGGTTAGTTTCTAAATTTGAGCTTAGTTTCTAGATTTGAGGTTAGTTTCTAAATATGAGGTTAGTTTCCAGATTTGAGGTTAGTTCCTAAATATGAGGTTAGTTTCTAGATTCGGGGTTAGTTTCTAAATGTGAGGTTATTTTCTAGATGTGAGGTTATTTTCTAAATGTGAGGTTATTTTCTAGATGTGAGGTTAGTTTCTAGATTTGAGGTTAGTTTCTAGATGTGAGATTTGAGGCTAGTTTCTAAATTTGAGGTTAGTTTCTAAATATGACGTTAGTTTCTAGATTCGAGGTTAGTTCCTAGATTTGACGTTAGTTTCTAGATTCGGGGTTAGTTTTTAGATTTGAGGTTAGTTTCTAAATGTGAGGTTAGCTTCTGGATGTGAGGTTAGCTTCTAGATTTGAGTTTATTTAGCTATAATGGCGTGAAATTCAAATGTCCAGACTAACAGCAATCTTTAGTTTATGCGAAAAGCAACTTTTGACCAAGTTCGAATCTCTGCCTGCACAGATTGGCGAGCCGGAGGAGCACAAGTACAAGCTGCTGGTGATTAGCTCACTGTTCGACACCGCGGCACCGCTGGGCCGTGAGATAATGCTGAATCTGGTGCGGCACTTGATCGAGGGCCACAAGCTGCAGGAGGCGTCCGTGGTGCAGCTGCTGCAGCGCAGCGTCATCTACTTCCTGCCGCAGACGGAGAAGTTCGACGCGATCTTCAGCATGTACAATGCCAAGTAAGTGTTATAGAATGCCAAATGCCAAAAACTGTGCAACTGTTAATTAATTAATTAACACGACACAGCAATTCCGTTTGTGATCCCATGCTGCCCGATGAGCTGGCCGAGCGCATACTGAGTCCGGAGCTGGAGTCAGCGCGGGATCTGCTGTTGCAGTTTTTGCGCAGGGAACGCTTCGATCTGCTGCTGACATTCAGTGCGGGCAGCTCGGAGCTGAGCTATCCGCGCGCCGATTCCATACTCGAGAAGTTCGCCCACAGCATACAGCGCACGGAGTTCAACTATTCGCCGCTGCAGTGCAGCAGCTCAGCGACACGTCAGCTGCATCGGGAGGCGACCGAACGTCTCACTAATCTGCTGTACAGGATGTACAATCTGCCCATGTATACGCTGGGCTTGTCCTGCTGCCGCATGCCCGGCCACGGTCAGATTGGCGCCGTCTGGCGCACCAATATCGAGAAGATACGCAACTTCTTGGCCCTGGTCCAGACCGGCATTGCGGGCCTCGTCCACAACGATAAGGGCCAGCCGCTGCGCGAGGCGTTCGTCCGTCTGCTGGAGCATCCCGCCGTTTACAATGTGACACGGAATGCGGCACGCTTCCAGCTGATGCTGCCCAAGGGCATCTACGGGCTGGAGGTGAGCGCGCCCAACTACGAATCGCAGATCGTCAGGACGCAGGTGCAGCACGGTGTGCTCAGCGACCTGGGCGTCATCCGGCTGCACGGCTACACCCTGATCAGGGGCGAGGTAACCGAACTGAATGCCAAGCCAGCCGCGAACCAAGCCACCACCACCACCAGCATATCGGGCCTTGTTCTCGACGATGGCAATCATCCCGTACGCAATGCCAAGATCTCTGTCATCCGGCCCTCGGGCCTGAACCATTTGCGCAACTTCACCAACAGCTTGGGCGAATATCTGTTGTCGGCGGTGCCATTGGGCGCCATAACGCTCAAGGTGGAGGCTCCGCGGCATTTTGAGGCGACACGCGATCTCCGGCTGCCGTCGGGTGAGCTCACGGAGAACGTTGTCTTCCATCTCAAGTTCAATGCCCATGTCTTTGGCCTGCCGCGCTTTATCTTCATCATTGTTGCCAGTGTCCTAATCATTGTGGGCGTTGTCGTCTGCGTAATATGCGCCCAATTCTGGTTCTACAGACGGCATCGCGGCAAGATGCCCTACTACAATTTCTCGCTGCTGCCGCAAAAGGGCAGGGAACAGTTCGAGCTGGACGACGATGCCGGCGACGACGGCGAAACGGAGCTCTTTCGTTCGCCCATCAAGCGTGAGTAGAGCCCAGCCACAGGCCCACAGACCCAGACACTAATCCTTATCCTTGGTATTTCGCAGGCGGCATGACCATACAGCCCTACTTCGATGAGGAGCAGCTGGAGCACATACTGCACACGGACGAGGATGAGGATGACCACGACGATGACGATGACGATGACGATGAGGATGTGCGGAATGAGCGCGATTTGGGCATGGAGCCGCAGCTGGATGCGGCCGATGAGAGCGGCGATGAGATTGTCATGTTGCATCAACACAATCGGCGCAGGCAATAGAAAGGGACAGCAACACAACACACACACACACACACACACACACACACACAACATAACTGTGATGCAAAAGTTTTCAACAATCAAGCGCTCTATGATAGACTACATATGTTTTTTCTCTCAATTTTAACCATGTACATACACACACACACACACACACACACACACACACACACACACACACATATATATATATATATATATATATATAGACAGCTTGTATATACATCATATTCGATGTCATGTCGCGAATCTCTGCAAAAGAAAAACGGCACCTTAACAATGTCTAATAAGATATATATATATATGTGTGTGTGTGTGTGTGTGTGTGTATATATTTATATGTATGTGCTGTCCAGTGTTGCCAACGCAGCCTTTTCTCGCTAAATTTGGCTAAATTTCTCTGACAATTTGTGCTCAAAATCGAATTTAGGTATTTGTTTTTTTTTTTTTGTTATTTTTTACCCATTTTCAACATTGGTTTTAGCTACTTTTTTTTGTTGGCAACACTGGCGCTGTCCAGGAACCTAACTGTAACTACTCTTAAGACTGAGCCCCAACAAGAAAGAAAATCAAAAGAAAAAAGAAAAGAGAAAAAGAAAGAGAAGAAGAAAGTTAAACACACAGAAAGATTGTGTACTTAAGCAAAGCAATTGAGAACTTAAGAAAACATTCCACAAGCCAATTGATTGGCAGAGCCGGCCTTACAATAATACCAGACCAAAATCCCTATGCATATATCTAAGTATATATAGAATACGTATAAAGCATATCTGTCCAATTTACCAGCTGACATATGTATATATACACTATATATAATTCTAAATCGAACATGTGCAGGCTTTTCATATTATATAGAGCGTATGCACACGATTGACTAACTCTCTATATATATATATATATATATATATGCACGATTTTAAAACCAATTTATATATTGCGCACTTTATGCTCATTAATTATATTCCAAACGGTGCACACACGCCAAATCGAAAGATTATTTAAATATATGTATGTATATATATAACAATATTTATATATCTTTAAGACAAATATTTGGAATTTTATCGAAATAAATACGAGTATGTACAAGTACCTAATCCGAATTCAAGCTGGCTCCGCACATTATTTGACAGCGAATTATTTTTTGGCCTCAGCCTTGAAGCGGCCTATCAAATTAACCCCCCCCCCCCCCCACAGAGAGCAGAAATATACATATATAATATGATTATAGCTAGTAATCAACTTTATTGATTAAAATACGACAGCTTAGACGGTTGCGGTGCGCCGATCACCAAATACCCTCACAAAACAAATTAGTTTCGATCTAAAGCGGAGTTTCCTTTTCTTACCGTTGTGATTCAAAGACTATTCGTTCGTTGTTGCCCTTTGCAACACTGTGTAATTGTTAACTGTTAATGAGAGCCTAACCTTACTTTTGGCAAACAGTACAGTTACATGCAAAGCATTGAGCTCTGTTATGGAAATTTCAAATATTTACCAAAATAGACATTTTTGAGTTTCTCAAATAAAGGAAACTTGACTGGAATCGGTCTATACATAGTTATCTATATATAGTTCAATTTTAATTCATATTATTTCAGTACTCAAAAGATTCACATTTTGTGGGAAGGTTATCCATGCCAAGTTCTAATAACATAACTAGTCCCAAAGTCAAACAATATTCGTACAGCTCTTCAATAATATTAATAATTATTTTATTGGAAAACTCTCGGCTGTGCCAAGCCATGCCCATGCCCATGCCCATTCCGGTGTTCCATATGCGATGCTTGGCTGCATATACCCTGTCTTTTGGGCCATGGCAATGAATGAATATACCCTATAAAACAGAGACATGCTGCGATCATGTTGGCCAAAGACAAAGTAAACAAATGTGCTCAAAGTTAAATCAAGTTTGAGGCGCAGATTCATCGACTAAACCGACAGAGCACAGCCACACACTCGGATCTATAGAGCTAGCTACATGGCCAGGATCAAGGTTATCGCGATGTGCTGCTATCAGGCACACGGATGATGCCCTTATCTGCGGGCAGGGCGTGGCCAGCGGGGGGCGGGGGGATGCGGGGTATGCGGTGTATGCGACGTTTATCAGCGGACAGCGCCACAGACGACAGACGACAGTTGACAGTGGACAGTTGACAGAGGCGAAAGTGAGAGCTAAGTGAGCTAAGTGAACGAGACACAGAGCGACAGACAGACAGACAGAACCGATAGCATGTGGTGGATGCGGAAATTGGCCATCAACTGGCGGCTGCAGCGGCGCTGCCGGAGCTCTGTGCCCGACCAGAATCGGCTGGGCATCATCGGGGTGCCCTTCGCCAAGGGGCAGACCAAGCAGGGCGTCGAGCTGGCGCCCGATTTGCTGCGCCAGAACAAGCTGCGTCAGGTGCTGCAGAGCAGCGACGGTAAGCTGTTAACCTAAAGAAGAAGAACAAGAAGAAGAACAACAACAAGAAGAAGAACAAGTTTGATTTGATTTGCGTTAATCGTTGATCGTTTATTTGGCTATCGATAACAGAGCGGCTGCGAATAACGGACTACGGCAACCTGCAGTACGCGGTGGACGAGAGATTGCTGCAGCAGCAGCGCCAGCATTACCATCACATACACAACTATGCGGACTTTATGGCCTGCAATCTGGCGCTGATCGGGCAGGTGCAGCTGATGCTGCGCGAGAACGCCCAGTTCCTGGCCATTGGCGGTGATCATGCCATTGGCTTTGGTGAGTGCGGCAGCGTTGCCAGACTGTCTGTCTGATTGATTGTCTGTTTGATTTTCTGTTTGATTGTCTGTTTTCTGTTTGATTTTCTGGGCAGGCTCCGTGGCGGGTCATTTGCAGCACACGCCGAATCTGTCGCTGGTCTGGATCGATGCGCATGCGGACATCAATTTGCATAGCACCTCGCAGTCGGGCAATATACATGGCATGCCCGTATCGTTTCTGCTGCCGCAGCTGCGCGCCACCTGGCAGCATGCGGCGCTCGACAGGATCGCGCCCAATTGGTGAGTTCTGCTGCAGCTGCTGCTGCTGCTGCTGCTGCTGCTGCTACTGTTCTCTCTTCTTCTTCTTCTTAACACTTGCTGCTCGTTTCAAACTTTTCGAGTATTTCTCTTTGTTCTGCTCTTTATTACATTTCGCTATCGCTATCGTTAACGGTAACGGTAACGGTCGCTTACAGCTAACACACAACATATACGAATGCTTCTTCTTCCTTAACGTGCAAACTTAAATATAGTTCTATGTTCTAATTGGAACTGAAGGCCAGCTCGCTTACGTTCTAATTGGAACTGGAAGCCAGCTCTCTTATCACAGTTTCTTAGCGAAATAAGTTTTTTGGTTTGGTTTTTAGTTTTCGATTTATAGATTTTGATTTGTTTGTCGTTTGTCGTTTTATTCTTATTCTTCTTCTTAGTTTTCTATTCTCTTTGAGCTTTTAGTTTTTTGTGTTTTTGTGTTTGTTTGTTTTTGTCTCAGTCTTAAATTGTGTTTGGTTTGTTTTTTGCATATTTTGATTCTTACTAAGCTAATTATTTCGTTAACATTACTTAATTGTAATTTTTAGCTTTCTTCACTCTTTTTTTTTTGGCAGTTTCTCTGTTACATGAATTTCTTTAGGAACCTGACCACAAACCGAAAAACTTTCATATTCAATTGAAAGTAAAAAAAAAAAAACAAACCAACAATTTGATAACGAAAAGAAAACACAAATACACATAATATATATATTCTATACATATATATATATGTATATATGTATAAATAAGGAAATCGGAAAATGAAGGAAACAAATCGAAAACTTACGTCAATTAGATTCGAATATATATATTATAAATTGACGTGTTATTATTGGAAGCTTCAAAATCAATAGACTATATATATATGTATATATGTATATATAATATTGGAACTACAAATGAACTCAACTCACAGCTCAGCGTATCCTTGATCCTTGATCAAAAGTATATATATATGAGAAAAACAAAGATCAACAGAGAAAAAATAGGTTTTAATCAAAGAAAAAATCGCCCAGCTACGTTAAATTTTTGAACTATTGCTTTAACTATATTTGGTGCATAATTTGCTAAGTGGGCGTGTCCCCTCCCCTCCCCTCCCCTGGCTGGTGCTACAAAACAAATCAAATCAAATCGAAACCGAAAACCGTTAATTCAACAAAATATTCTAGCTTAAACTTAATGTTAAATTGCCTAACATTTGGTTAAAGTTGCTTGTTATTCTTCATCTTTGCTTACATACATAATAGATAATAAGTAAGTAGTACGAGTTAATTGTATGTGATTCATATGAAACTTAAAATTAACAGATCGCAATGATCGATAATCCAAATCGAAAACCGATCAAAATATGAGGCTAAAACTCAAAATAGAATTTCTTATCGAGCTTGCGGACGAGCGTACACTCTCAACAGATAGACAGAGACAGAGAGAGTGTGTGTGCGTGTGTGTGGGTGTGTGGTTGGAAAACAAAAAGAGTTACACTGAAAGAAATGAAAATGTGTGTGTGTGTGTGTTGTTATTATGTACACAATACAAATACTGCACGGAATATACACAATACAACAAGAAATTCGACAAAATATTTGAAATATGAAAATCAACTAAAGCTGAATTATTAATTGGCTTATGGAATTTGCGGGGAATGATCTGTGATCTGTGATCCGTGATCCGTGATCTGTGATCTGTGATCTGTGATTTGTGGCTTGGCGGTGCTTTCAAGTTCCTGCTCGGTTTTTTTTTTTGTATTGCATTTCAAAAACGAAAACATTCGAAACGAGAAAAAACTTTCGCTTGTTTTTTTTAAATTATTTTTATAATGTGTTAAAAAGAAAACATGTTTTAGTTTAAGGATTTGGTTGATACCCCTGCATATGCGAAATGAGCTGCAATTGGAACTCGTGACTTTTTGAAGCTATCTTAAGGAAAATTTGATATTCATATGGAGGAACTAAGTATATAAAAAAAAAGGGAAACGAACGAAAAGAAATAACTATGGGACTTCAAAAAGGCGGACTACTTTTGGCTATAAGCTCGCTAAGGCAAATATGAGAGAGAGAGAGAGAGAGAGAGCATTTATGGGGGAAACTATGCAAGGGTATTGCAGCTTCGGCTTGCCGAAAGCTATCTTTTTACTTTTACTTCTTTTTGTTTTTTTTTTTTGATGGCGCTTCACTTTGAAACTTATAAAAGTTGTTATTTTTTTGGTGGAAATGAAGGAAATTACAATACATAAACGTGTGTTTATAATACGCAGCATGTGTGTGTGTGTGTGTGCGTGTGTGTGTGTGTGTGTGTGTGTGTGTGTGTGTCGTGGATGAATGCACACACACACACACACACACGCGCACGCACGCGCACGCAATGCGTCGAATGGATTAAAGATATATATATATATATATTATGCATAAATAAGTATGTAATTACAATCAATATCGAATGAATCATATATAATTATACAATCAGTAATTATTGTGTTTGGTTTTTTGTTTTTTTTTTTATGTTTTTCATTTTTTGTTTTTTTTTTTTTTGTGGCAATTAATTAATTAACTAATTCAAGTTAAACATGTAATCAATGTAAATGTTAAATGTCAAATTCAATTGAAAAATCGAACAACAACACACGCCTGAAAATAAATCAAGAGAAAGAAACAAATTAGAAATATGCATAAGTTTCTGTTTTTTTTTTTTTTGCAGTTTTTTTTTTTTTTTTGAGGTTAGCTACAATAGAAAAAAGAGTAGTAAAAAAACCATTTTTGAAGTCAAAACTCATCATGGGCGATGTTTATTATTGAGAAAAATCAAATATTCAAATTTTCAACGCTGTACAGAGGAAAGCAAATCAAATTATATATATTAGCCTGGATAAATGTATTTGGTTAATTGTTTTTTTTTTTTTTTTTTTTTTTTTGGGTGGGGTGTTTTTTTTTTTTTTTTTTGTTTTTATAAATAATTAAGTGTTAGCCGTGTTTTAGCTCTCGGTTGGATGCTGCTTCAACTTTATTCGCTTTACTTACCGGAAATAAAATCACATCTTAAAAACAATAAAAATCTTCTTCGAGCTACAACAACAACAAC